GTTGTTTAAATTGTTCTTCTATGCTTAATGGGTTTCTAATGCTTAATTTTAGGTTAGACAACAAATGATCAAATTAGGGAATTAGGAACACAAGGTTAGGACCAAACACCATGGCCTAATCATACTTTAGCTAGAATCAATCTTTGAATCTGAATTAGACTTGTTACTTGACTCCATATAACCCAGAATTGAATTGTTATGGTGATTCGAATGCCCTAGTCTCCAAATCTGTTTTCCAACTCTTAAAACCACTCTTTGTTACACTTGTTTATTTGCTTTCATTCGCAATTTCAGTTTGCTCACTTCCTTTCACAATCACAATCACTCTCACTTTAATTTCTGTTTTAGACTTAACTTCCTAACTTCTTGAATTCGGTAATCTACGTACATAACTAATTTGAACTTCTCAGTCTTCGTGGGTACGACCTCGTACTTGTCTTGCTATATTACTAATTGCCCCGTACAATTGCGAGTTAACATAATAATTAACAACAGCACTCCTTCACTACTTAATGGCTTTAAATCTTTTATACATGGGTAATGCGGCCAAGAAGAGAGAGAGAGAGAGAGAGAGAGAGAGAGAGAGAGAGAGAGAATGGGGTGGTGACTGGGACTGCTGATGGTGGTTATGGTGGTGGCTGCGGCGGCATGGGAGAAGAAGATGACATAGAGGTTGTTGGGTTTCCAGATTTTTTTTAAAATTTTGTTATTCTGTTATTTTATTTATAAAGTGAACTTAATAAATTTTTTATTAATTTTTTTAACGGTACTTGGACGGAATGTACAACATTGGCTAACGGAATAAAACACAAGGGCTCAATTGGCCAAATTGAAAACACGGGGACTAAATTGGCCAAATGAGTATAACATAGGGACTATTTTAACATTTAAGCCTTTTTTTTACTATTCAACCCTCATTATATTAGATTGTGGTGTTCTAATATTTCATTGAAGAGCTAACATGGGCTTAGCCAAGTTAGTTAGAGTGGATGTGCTCCCACTCTGCACCGGAGTTCGAATCCCCCTCCCCGTAATTTAGAGTAGAATATTGCTTGTAAAAATTTATTTTTTTAACGCATGAGCATTTTCATGGTTTTTGATATTTCACTTTTAAGGCCTTCTACCTATATATATATATGGATATATAGATAGATAACAATATCTGCTTCATATTGTACTCAAGGTTTGCCACGGCTCTTCCTTTCTGGAAACTGATATGTAGGTTTTGTGCCTTCTGAAATCAACTCATCATGTGATATTTCATTAGTGTTATCAGTTTCAGGAAAAAAATGTTACCTGAATGACTTCCTCAACAGGGGATTGATGTGGTACTGGAGCTTAAGTGGGCAAGAAACCATACTCCTGAAGAAATCAATCTTGAATCTGACCTAGATATATATGAGAGAGTGTTTGATCTAGCTAGATGCATATTTCATATTTCAAATGCAGTTTTCAAAAAATCAATTTGGAAAACTCAAAGGTGAAAAATATGATGATTTTCTCTTGAGGAAGAAGAAGAGAAAGTTTGCAAAGAAATTTTCCAAAACTTACCCTCAAAAGAGACGGTTGCCAAATGAGGAATTCTTTTGGCTTTTACCCAAAAATTCCTAGGTTAGAATAGTATACATGGCAGTAGAGAAAATTCACAGAATAGGACAAAAGAGTTGGTTAGGATCCAGCTGGAAACCAGTGAGCTAGAAATCCTACTGATGCAAAGGTTTACTAGTCATACGAAAGAAAGATGACTAGTCATAATCTTAAGAAATTTAGTCAATGCAATATGATGCAATGCAGAAATTACCTTTGTCAAACGCATTGTTGTCCATCATATTGTAGCCAAATAAAAACACCTAGACAAGTAATTCTTAATCTAAACTTAGAGCTTGGGAAATTACAATGATTGTCCTATTACAATATTTTCAAGGGAAGCCAAAAGAAAAACACAAAATGTATACACTTACAATAGTGACCTTATCATTCTCAGCAGCTCATCCCTAGGATTGTTCTCATCAACACTCTCATCTGGTGTGTGATGAAGTGAGGAAGAAGAAGAGAAAGTTTGCAAAGAAATTTTCCAAAACTTACCCTCAAAAGAGACGGTTGCCAAATGAGGAATTCTTTTGGCTTTTACCCAAAAATTCCTAGGTTAGAATAGTATACATGGCAGTAGAGAAAATTCACAGAATAGGACAAAAGAGTTGGTTAGGATCCAGCTGGAAACCAGTGAGCTAGAAATCCTACTGATGCAAAGGTTTACTAGTCATACGAAAGAAAGATGACTAGTCATAATCTTAAGAAATTTAGTGAATGCAATATGATGCAATGCAGAAATTACCTTTGTCAAACGCATTGTTGTCCATCATATTGTAGCCAAATAAAAACACCTAGACAAGTAATTCTTAATCTAAACTTAGAGCTTGGGAAATTACAATGATTGTCCTATTACAATATTTTCAAGGGAAGCCAAAAGAAAAACACAAAATGTATACACTTACAATAGTGACTTTATCATTCTCAGCAGCTCATCCCTAGGATTGTTCTCATCAACACTCTCATCTGGTGTGTGATGAAGCTGCAGGGGAAATTTCACAGCAAGCGCCTCTACAGGCCTGACATCAAGCATGTCCTGTGTGACATCAGGTGCAAAAACTAGCACTCCATGAAATTCAACTAGGATGTTAAATTTCTCAAAGATAGCTTTCAGCCGTCTCCCAACTACCTCCAATCCATCACCATGGTCATGAAGTGTAATCCCTGAAAGAAAATCCCTGAAGGATTCAAATTGCATGAAGCAAGTCCCTGAAGGACAAGTGCATGAAGCACCAATTTTGTACTCAATATTAATATGGATTTAGTATAAATTGCCTCAGTGAGTACATTAATTATGACATGTTGCAACACATTACAACTCCTAAAGAGTTAATAATTGATTAAAACTCATGAAGAGTTAATACTTGGTTAAAACTCTTGAAGAGTTCAAGATAGAGTCTCGACCTGAAGATCGAGCATTATGCCAACGAGATTCTTGGCCACCAATCGGCTTATACTAAGAAAGTATTGAATGATTTTTATGTGGATTATCCTTTGAGCACTTAAATGATTTCCTAGCAGTATACTAAACCGGACATGGTATTTCCAAATCAAGCTCAGCTCCATCACCATTACGGTGGGGGTGATGTGATGCATATTCAACGCTATCTCCGCATAACAATATATATGGGCATATTCTATTCAAGTGGATTTACAAATAGCCCAGGATTTATTAGATATGCGGACTCTAAAAACTTCTCTTATTTGCATAGAGATTATTCACTTGAAGTGTATTTACTTATAAAGATATATTGGTTTCATGTCACTTATAGGAATTCATGATGGTTATATCCTCCACTCACTTCGAATATATTTCCTTTCCAGAAAAATAGTCATGAAGATATCAGGGGGAGACATTCATCATAATAAGCATCCATAAATTGAAGTTACAAGAGCAAATGCGCTGCAAGCCTACTCTATGAGAGAAGAAATTGTTATCAATATCATTTGTGATAGGTCATCCAAGTATGCAGTTATCAAAATAAAGTAATTCGCCAGGGGAAGCATCCATCAAATTGAAAGCTTGATTTATTTACTAAAGTTGTATCAAAGCTATGACGACCACAATATTTAGAAAGATGGTTTA